ATTGCTTCTGTTACTTATCCCTGTTGTTCTCCATAAACTGACGGGCAGCTCTGAGGGCTGGATTCGTTTGGAGCAAGCCGGGTTTCTTCGAAGTCGCGGCCCTATTGATCACAACATCACATTACGTCTGTTGTTGAAACATCACCATATTTGTTGGCGACCCATCGCAGTCGTGTTTCTAAACATAAAAGTTACCGTCAGTTCAGTGAATCGATGTACCTGTTGGGACTGTCTACTCAGGAAAATTTTGCGAAATGGATAAATATCATCACAGCGCTGTACGCGCATAGTTCGAGCAATGTTAGGGCTTACGGCAAAATGTCCTCGCCCCTTAACAACACTAGCGACGTGGGACAAAGTTACCTGCTGTTACCCTTCTTTTTTAAAATCGTCGTTGAAGTCATGGAGACTGCGTCCACTAGACACGATCTGCAAGGTATGGAGCTGCTCCAAGGTGAACGTCTTCTTGAATTGGACTACGCCGATGACATTGCCCCTACCTGTGACAGCTTTCAAACGTGCCAATAAGCGCTGGGCAAATTAGCATTGGCTGTCAGTGGTTTCCTAGCTATGCTTTACACCCTCGAAATACAAAGCCCTTCTGCAAGCTTGGCAGGAACCCATGCCTGCGCTGACTTTTGATGGTGATCAACTAGAAGTGGTCGAGAATTTCAAGTACCTAGACAGTTATAACATCGCCCGTGGAATGGAAGAGAAAACCACAAACCTCATTGCCGAAGATGGATGCTCTTTTGCAGATCTTCACCACCTGTGGTGCCGGCGCGACATCACTCGTCCTGAAGGGTAGAGCTTACAGCGTAGCCTTCCGTTCAACCCTGTTGTACGGTTGCGAAACCTGGCCCATTAGATCGACAGACACAAAAAGGTTAGTTGCGTTTTACCATCACTGTCTTCCCAGCCTGGCTCATGTTTGGTGGGAGCACCACATGAACGATGGGCGTGTTCGGCTTCGTGTATTTGTCACAGGAAGAACGAGTGAAACGCTCGGCATCGTTATTTCTCGCATCAGACACCGATGGCTGAGCCACGAGTTGCGCATGCAAGCCGGTTCATTCCCTCGACGTGTGTTGTTTGCGATATCTTGTTCAAATGGAATGAAGGCCCTCACTTCGAACTTAGCTTCCGTCGGGGTGTCCCGATTGCCTGGCTGGAGTCCTAAGAACGATGAACACGTCTGGTAGAATACACTAGTTGACCTGACAAGGAGCCGATTCCGTTGGCTATTGCGATGTTAGTTTCTTTGTCCCTCCCCATCCGGCTTATATTCCCTCTCCAACCGCGATCTCCGCCTTGTAGCACAATATGTTATTAAATAGTGTGTTGCCTGTCTTTTTCATTCCATAATATTTAGTTTATTACTTTCCATTATCTCTTTTTGTTGTATTGTAGCACAATAGTTACAGTGTTTCTCATCTTCAGCTAATGTGAAATGATCATGATGATGATGGTTAAACGATGGGCTTTGTTTGATCACCGGTGCTTGCGGAGTATTTCTCACAAGCTTTGAATACACCCGGTGAGCAATGTAGAGGTCCGTCAGTTAGTATTTGGCTAGTGGTCGTTTGTTCTCGCACTCGAGTTTTCGTTTATGCTCAACTGCTTATGTTAACCAGGTTTTTGCGGATTGGGGTCCCTGGGATCGTCTACACCAGTGCTTGAAGGCCATCAGACATGGTACACTTGCGCAGTCATTGGCGTTCCTGCATTCTTACCTTGCATCGTTGTTAGGTTTCATCACACCCTGATTACTCTTGCACACATCTTCGCAGTGTGTTGATTTTTCCAACATTTCCTTTCTTTTTTGCACCCAAAGCGGGGGGGGGGGTTGATTCATCAACAAAATTACAGTCACCCTTTCACGGGAATGCAGTTTGAGTGCATGATTTGCACGAATAGAATGCAATTTGTATATGCATGACGTCGAATAGAAGATGACGAGATCCCGTTTCGTGGTTTCTACCCTTCCACCGTATCGTCACACTTGGGGTCAACTTTTTCTATAGTTTGGTAAGCTAGAAGTCACCTAATGTAACCCGAGGCTTAGTTGGAGTGCGTTTTTTCACTTAACACTTGAGCTTATACAATCTGTTGGAGTTCAGTTAAAATCATGCCTAGTATAACAGTAATGATGATAAAGTTACTGATGCTAAAATTATGTGTAAGTATCTTTCTAGGCCGTGTTAGATACAGTCTAATTAGGTGGTCAGATTATTTGGTACAACAGGATCTCATAGGATATATATTTTCTCAGGCTCTCCAAAGGAATTCCTACATGGTTTTTCGTGATTTTCGATCAGTCAGATGTGTTAACCGGAGAAGTCGAGAGTAGAATGAAAGTGGTTATTGCCAAAATTTCAACTGAATCATTTGGGCTATCCTCGGTACCGTCTTCTTGGTTGTTAATGCCGATTCTTCATTCGGTTATTTTCTCGTGAGAAAAACGTTTAGCTACCTGCCTAAAACTACTTATTCTCCCTTGGATACTGATTTCTAGTTTATGGTGGGTTTGACCGCAGCATGTATCACTTGTTTGGTTCAGTCAAACGAAAACTCCGTGTACATTCAGTCATTACATCGATCACCTCAGGATAAATGTCAGTTTGTAGTTTCCTACCCCGAACGGTGTACCAACCAGACACCACTATTTTGTTATCAAACAATCCTACCAATTTGCTCTGACTCAAACCAAGTCAAGTCAAGATGTTTTCTGCAAAAGAAAGAGCTTACCAAAAAACAATCTCACTACCGGTCAGTTCTCGGACCATTGCATTTTGCTTAAATAGAAATCTGGCTAGATAGAGTGTGTTCAACGAACCATATGCTCTCGTGCGGGCATTTATTTCCCTGTCCCCTTTTTCCATTCGATGTGGTAGATATATAGTTGGAGAGTGCATTGTGCAAAAGTTGGCTAATCTCTATTAACATTTTGGAAGTGAGTGTTGTACAGAAACTAACGTGGGTAGCTAGAATTGTTCGAGTCTAACTTGGTTCCGAATGCCACTGCAGCGAGACAACTGCTTCAGTGGGCTATCAACCAGTTTGAACTACACACGCGGGACATTATTTGCGAGTCTTTTTCTTACTGCGAGTTTGACATATTGCGTTTATGCAATCGTCGTCACTTTCAGATATTGATTGCGGCCAATGCCGCAGTGGGGAGTCTGTTGACTAACTCTGATGCAAGTTAGACTTATTCTCCGTCGCAATTTTTTGTTCAGATTGACGGTATGGACTGGTTGGTTAAATTCTTACGACACCACGAATCCTCTGAGGTTGTTCATGCAGTGGCTCATGCGTCCGGCGCTCGGCACCTCGTGTTAGAAACCCAGCTGTTGCCTTCGGTCAACATCTGTGCCTGCATACAGCCATTCACTGTTGTATTTCATTGAAGCATCATTACAAACTACTGGTATACGGCTGCTATCCTGCTGCTGTGTGCTCATCGTTTTTCTGTCTCTCGTTGTATGAGCTGCTTTATTTGTAGGAAATTACCCAACAAGTTTCTCAGTGATAGGGGCGTTTTTCCTTTTCATGCCATTGACTGACTATGATTCTTCGGACTAAATGATGTGGCTGTACGCTCGCAGGGTCTGGATTCTAGTCCACTAGCCGATTTAAAGCTGCATCCTTTCAACCTGAATTCATCTTATCCGCGCACGGTGGACGTTGAGTAGTAACAGTTTTCCCTCTGTTGTGCGATGTCGAGTCACATTTATTTTTCCTTAATAGACTCAACCAGTATTTCCGGCGATGTACGACTGGGATGCTCCTTTTCTGCGGCTTTGCTCACAGTTGACCTCTAGGTGGTTGTTGTAGGTATCTGGTCAACGCACACTGGTGTTATCATTGACTTTTTGGCAATACTCGCAGTTCACTTTGATCAGGAAGAGATTACTTTCTGTGTTTTAACATTAAGCATTTAAATTTTCGAATTGCGTCGATAGCGTATTTTATCCGAAGTGACTAGATTTCAAGTAACATTTTATCGCTCATCAGTTCCCTCAATAGTAGCGTCACTTGCTTTCATCAGCAGTGTGCCTATCACCCTTTGACTATCCGATGGTATCTGCTGCTTCATCCTACAGATGTGGAGGTGGAGTTTGTTAGCTTTTTTAGGCGATGCACTGAGATCCGCAGGAGAGCTGTCTTCTTACCGCCGCCGTTTTCTCACGCTGTCTCCAATTTTTTTGTAACCGAGCGATGTTGGCAGAGTGTATTTATCGCAATTCTGTGTGTTTACTTAAACTGATGTGCTGTTGTCATTTTTAATAATCTCATTTATCGCGGCATCCTTCAAGTAGGCATGAGGAATTACTTGTAAACTCCGAGTCATGGGTGCTCCAAAGACACCGACTTCTTGTATTGTGTACGGTCCCAAAGTTATAATTATCAAAGGCTTAAATTACGGAAGGCTGAAAACCCGATTCATACAAGTGCACGTGTACTCAGATCAGACAAAACGCACACGTTCAATCAGCCTACTAACTCGTGAAACATTCACGTTGTTTAGCCCTTGCACCCAGAAACAGTCTTGTTTCCAACCAAACACGTATTGTTGTATCCAAGCAACATTTATTTTCCGGTCAACTCTCGAAAAACTTCCAACATTTCTGCTCAGTTTACGGACTTTGCATATTTGCATAAAACCATGTTTCTTGCTTCCAGGTTTTGCTTACGCAAACCCTTCCAAGGGAAAACCCCCGTTCATCACCGTTTCGTGATATAAAAATGAGGCAGTATTCAACATGTATCATCTCGTATCTTGTGGCTGTCGAATGGTAATGATCATAGTCCAAACGCTTACGACGTGCTTCTCTGCTACCGTTATTGACGTGGCACTTTCCTTCACCTTTGTCAAGGAAGCAGCGTTTCGAAACGGTGTTCTAACGGTGTCTTAAACACATATTATTAACCTGATAAGGGGACTTTTGTTGAATCCTGTTTATCTGAACATCGTGTCTATTTTTTCACCCCTCGTTCTTGCATGGAGCTAATTCCGCGCTTGTGCGATTACTAAGTTCTATTTTTTTATTTGTGCACATTTTTGCAGTGGCATGCCTCAGCGGACAACTTGAGCTGATCTGGACTACTTGGGCTACTCATGCAATCTGGTTTTGTTTAACAGGATGACGCTGCGCAGAGCTTACAAATGAAGCAACCTTTGGGTCTGTGTATTCTGAGACCGAAGCCCGAACCCACAGATACATATTCGACAGCGGCATCCTCAAGTAGCGAAGCGCTTGATGCTATCCCGGATGCTCAAGAGGATGATCAACTGGATTTCAATGCTCGGCGTACTTCCGATCAGTCATTGAAAGCTGAACCGAACAATCCTGTGAGCTCTTTGGACGAAGTTTGCGTCATTGGGGCCAAGACAGCACTTCCCGTTTCTGAGAAAGGTATTCTAGTCAACAGTGTTCACACCTGCATGTAGTTTTTCACTTTGTCGATTGTTGTACCATTTATACATTGCCACTGCATATGAATGGTTATAGAACAGAGGAACTGCCCTTGAAGGAGTGGAGTCTCACGGTTCGACTTTCAGCCTTGTCATTAAGTGTTCCTAATTCAGCATTCTTAAGATCATACTTTATGCACAGAAATTCGGTTAAACTAACGGGAGCCATTATGTCAGTTTTAGCGATAACTGCCTTGAAACGAACCAGGCGTTCAGACAAAAGGGGTGCAAATCGTCTACGGTGTGCTTCGAGAATAGCGGAGATGTTTGGTCCACTTGGCCGAGAACTTTCACTCGCAATTCAACTGGCCTCCACCGTTCACCAGTGCATACAATGCGCTTTGTTGTCTACCCTGCCTCGTCCCACTGAATTCACCCAGGGTAGTGAAAGTCTGTCTCGGGATACGACGCCTGAAGTGATTCAAGGCTACCGACTCTGATAGACTTCCTCCGGAGTTGTTCAAGTACGGCGGCGTGGCGATCACTAGCCATCTGATCTCGTTCGCAATATCTGGCACGAAGAGAGTGCCTTCCTCTTGGAGCGAATCAGTTATTGTCCCGATTTTCCATAAAGACGCTTGCACTTCAGGTTGCCTGCAAGGTATTAGCATCCATTCTACTTCGTGGAATATCCCCAACACGTGAATCATATTAACGCGAAGAGCATACTGGTTTCCGTCCCGGCCGTGGGAGCATGGATCAAATATTCACGCTCCGCCAGCTCCTTGAACATCGCCACATTTATCACAGGCCCACTGTTGTTGCATTGCCAGATACAGTGCTGCATTTGACTCCGTTGATCGACCTGCTTTATGTTGTTGCTTGTTTAACAACAGCATGACAGAGTGGTACACTGCCATCTTACGCACATTTTACTTTCCTACCTCTGGCATAATTAGAGTCTACGATAAGCTTCTTTCGTTTTTTGTTGTCAGTAGCGGTGTGCGTCAGGACTGCCCTATGTCACCATTCGTCTTCCAGTTCGCCATCATGGACTTAATGTCGAAAGCTTTGGAAGGTTTTCAAAATTTCGACCTAAAGTTCCTACAAGATGAGCGCGCGACCGACTTAGCTTATATGCTGATGATATCGCCTTACTTGGTGAAAATACACAGGGTATGCAACACATTCTGGATCGTTTGGCGGTTGAGGCATCTAAGTGTGGCGTGAGCTTCGCTCCATTAAAGTGTAAAGTGTTGTTCCAGCATAGGCTCATATCTCCTCCCGTGCTCACCCTTGAAGGTGCACAACATGAACAGACAGGTAGTTCCGTCTATCTTGGGAGCTGTATTTTTCTGCTATCGGCACTGTCAGCAAGAAAGTTTCTTTTCACTTCGCTAAAGCCCGATCAGTATTTGTCGATCTGAGGAACTTGTGACGTCATCGTGAAGTTCCACTCCCGATAAAAGTCCGTGTTTTCAATGCTTCTGTTCGCCCAGTATTGTATGGGAGCGAGTACTACCCTATACGTTTGAAGGACATGCGTCTTGTTTCTGTCTTCTGGTACGGTTGTTTAGGAAGGATTGCTAGTATGTGGTTGGAACATCGAGTTCAGAATGATGACGCTCGACGTCGCGTTTTGGCTAATGCGAGTATTCCCTTCAACAAGCTGGTTTTGTTGCGCCATTTGAGATGCCTTGGTCAGTACCTGCACACTACGCCTGAGTGTTTACCGCGCCGCACTCTATTCACTCGTCAAGTACCTGGCTGGAGGCGAGGGCGTGGGGGTCAGCCTTCCATTTGGCGACAGTACATGAAATCGCTGACTTCACGTTTAACCGCCATTGGACCCATACTTCTTCCAGGATGCAAACCCAAAGATGTGAAGTGCCAACGGCTTAACACGCTTTAGGACATGGCCCGCAACCTGAATCCATTTAAGAATTGTGTGCAGAACTGTATTGGTTCACACCGGGAATGATAAAATATGGAAATGTCGGCGTTTAGAAAACAAACTAAAAATGTTTCGTTCTACGTTTTTCTGGACTTGTACTTTCCTTTGGTCCTCACGGTTTTCTCGATGACTCCATGTCCATTTCTTTGACTGTTGCCATGTATATATGTATGCTGAGGCTGATGTTGCATTCATGATGCTTTTTCACCGCAGTTGGGCTAAACCAACTTACACTTAAACTAGGTCTTTTTAAGCTGGATAAATTTCATACCACTTTATTTGGTTTGTTCTGCCTCCCGGTCTTATGCCTTCGGGTTTACACTGGATATGTGGTATGTGGTTGGTGCTGTGGATGGTGCAGCGCAAGCCACCCATGGTCCTTCTGTAGGCGCAGTCGTCCTGTGGCTTGCCACAGTGACAGGCAAATCCGAAACCGGATGCTGCCAACCATGTATGCTAACTTGGAAACTTGCTTGCGCCATCTCCGTCATTTTTTTAATGTCATCCTTATTCTATATGCCGCATGTAAGTCGTGCTTGGGTACAGTTGCATTCTAGAATGAGTAACTACTGACTTGGTGCAATGTGGTATCTATATTGCACCTGTCTATAACGGATGAGCCACAGGTAACCTAACATTTTTAGGCTTATTTAACTCGGTTGTATTTCGCGATGAGTTCACATATGTTGCGCATTACGATATTGTACTCATCATGACCTATGCTATCCTATACTTGCTACCTTCTCAAGCGGAGTGTAGTATGGTTAAATACCGAGACAGTGAGCTACGGCATCTTCCTCTTCATAGTATTATTCGGCCACGATTCACCTCACTATGTGAACTCCATGCTATTACTCACCATAACCGTAGCTTGACCAGCCGCTCAATGCTAACTGACATGACCTTAGAGAGCCGGTGCATCGTAGAATAATGGTTCAGTCCATCCATTAGCTCATTCGTACTGTACATATAGAGGGCAACACCTTAGTGCACACTATTTCACTGTACCAGCAGTTTAGTCATAATTCTACCTAGCAGTTGCTTCACTATTGCTACATCTGGTTCCTTCAAATATGGATGCCCAAGATTTAAGGCTGTCACGTCTAAATGTTGAAGAAAACATCAACAGTTCGTATTCTCATGCTTGTGAAAGTGTTTGTTAGCCTGACCTCCAAACGAAACCCATACACGTTTGTGGTACCATTGATGATGATGTCTAATGTGTCTCTATCCAGTTTGTGACAGATCACACTTAAGTTTGGCCAAATGCATGTGCATATGTCGTATTCGAACTACCATTGGACACGGATGACGCCAATCTATGTATATAGGTATACCGAATGGATTCGACGAGGATAGTTATACCGCTTTTGTACGGCTAACTTAGTGCAGGGAGACAGCACTCGAGCAAACCAGAAATAACATTACTAGAACATGAAGGTGAGTTTATGACAAACTCATGTTGATTTCAAATGTTGCGAATCCAAGGCAAATTTGATCGATGCGAACTCCGTGGACTGATCATAAGGGCGGATGTTCAGGTGCAGGAGAAGGTACTATTGCACGCGGAATAGAAGCCTGATACGTACGCTCCCATTCGATTTACTAATCCAGGCCAATAAGGTTGTGGTAGTTTGCTTGCGTGCTGAGTAATCTTGCATTTTAGAAGTAGATGTTGTTGGAGTTCCCCGATGTGGATGCGCTTGCTATGAATGTTGACAAAGTGCCTATCTGTCTATTACACACTACCTCGTCCATACTGGCTCCAGGAGACAGTTGGTCGTTGCTGGAGGGGACGGAGTGCACCGTCCTCGTGACGGTGCTAGGCTTAAAGAGTGGTTTCATCCTGTGTGGAACGGGCTACGGTCCAGCCACCGCCTCGTGTACGTCTGGTGTGTATGATTTCCCAATTAGGCCGGAATGCTTCCGTTCTGCTTGTTGAAGGAATGTGGGCCGGCTTCGTTAATGAAACGTGGCTCCCTTTCACATGCCTCCCGGTCTTATTCCTTCGGGTTTACACCCATAGTTCCACCCATATATATATATATATATATATATATATATATATATATATATGGGCGGAACTGTGGGTGCGCGAGCTTCGAATGCTTGTGTTCATTAGCAGTGATTATGCTCATTTCTGAGCGCTTTTCCTCGTATACTGCGGTGCAGATGCGTCGATTGTTGACATGAAACGGTTTACCTGACTTCTTACTTCCATACGCATTGGCCCTGCTTGCATGTCTATGCGTATGTAGTAGGTGGCCGGAAACATCTGGTACGGTTACTGTTCTGGCGATTAGGCTGAGCGCGCCTCTCTTTGACGCAGAGGACGTATGTGGTTTTCGCATGGAAAGTCTGCAGAATGTTGGTCAAGACCTCTGGTGTCAGAGCGCGGCTTATTCTGCGTTACCATTTCCATTACTGCTCTCCTGCGTCATAATACTGCGCTTTTTCTGTCTCGAGAATCATTTCGACTTGGCACCATGAGTTGTTGTGACACTCTTCTGACGCTATGGTGCCGGCGTCACCGTGAATGATGTCCGGATTTTACCTGTTGTGGTGCTTATTCTTTCCACATTAAGTGTTGTATCATGGATGGGGTAACGGTAAGTACTCGCAGATGTGCAAGTTTTGTCTTAAGATCAAACTCACTTAAAAGTAATGGGCCAGCAATACGCTGAATTTCGCAAGGCAGTGCAGACGGAATGCTGCCTCCCAGCTTGAAACTGTTGCGCTGCTTCAATGGAGCTCGTGTAATGAGATGGGTCTGTTTAAAGTTGCCGACAGCATCCTTTCCGACTTTTTCTTTTTTTGGAGCGAATAACAGAATGCCATGCATCACAGTCACCACTGAGATGGAAATGTTCAGACAGGCTGATTGCACCTCGTTTACAGTCTCTTCATTTTCTGTCTCTGTCCCGTAGTTGTTAGACCCTATATCTTGGCCGTGTTCCATAAACTCGGGAACAACTGGAGTCAGCTTATTTGCTCTGTAGGCCTATCTCGATTGAACTTGTGAGCTAAGCATAGCGTGCAAAAATTGCGAACTGCACTATGCCACCATATAAGTGACGGAGAATGCTTTAAAAGTCACGAGGATGAACCAACCCACAGAAGTTCGTGGTGGGAAATTCTGGCCTGGCACTTACAAATCGGAATCGCTGGACCAGTAAGCCGAAATGCTGATGTGGGCACTGAATCGGCCCCCATTTCTTAGAGCGTCTAGTGGGAAACACGGCGGACTATATTCGTGTGGCCAGTCGAACAACCTCCACGTGGTACCAGGTGAGTGGTCCGGGTTAACTGTTCCTGCGAATGGTTTGACGGCAGTGCCCCAGGTGGTGGGTTTCCGCCTATAAAAGTCACAAAGGTCTGTTTAACAACATCGCGACGTGGCGGATGTGATTCTCCACCAAATAAAGTCACTGTCTCCTGTCTTTCCGGAGGATGGTACACAATTCAGAACCGTCAGCCACTTTGACTATTTTATTTTATCCCTTATGCTGACGAATTCGCCGGACGAAACCAAAGTTACACGTTAGTAGGTAGACACGTATCCGCGGCAAGGCCGGATAGAGCAGACTACTTCCTCACACTATGAACACTAACATGAACAACTAGTCGCTATGTACTGGTAACTTGTAACTATTGGGGAAATTCATATCAGGACGCAGAGATAGAGGACGTATGTTGTGAGCAGGGAGAGAATGTAAGTAAATGTGATTTAATAAGTGGGTACGTGTGGATGCGATTTGGCTGGCAGTGGCGAATGCAATGTCAGTAAATCGTCTCGAATCTCTTGTACCGGGACGTGTGCCACAGGACAACGTATGAGACCGATAGTAGTTTCGGTAACAAGTGCTAAAGCACAGTAAAAATTATGGAATGGACCATACAGAAGATATAGAGAGAAGACCAGGGCTGTAACAAGTGCGAACTGTAGACCGCGGTAATACAGGGGAGGCGGAGGACAGGCGAAAGCGATTTGGGAAAACGAAAATGGCGGAGCGGTGGAATTTACGAGGGGGGATTCGTCCAGAAGGGGTTATTAAGGAGAAGTAGACGGTTCTGAAGGATGTTCATTTACTGTCAGTCGGCTGTTGAGCAGAATGCGACATAAAGAAACGAGATAGGATGAGCGAGGGAAACAAGCACGCATGGAAGAAAAGGGATATAGTGGAGGAAAGAGTTTGGAAGTGGCTGAAGAGGCGGTGAGGGAGTGTGCTTAAACACGGCGCCGTGGACAGAGAGAAATAGAGAGGAACTTTGAGTAGAGAAAGAAAATAAGAAAAAGACGGTTCAATAAAAACGGTGGTATCGGATGTACGGGGGAAGATCGTCCGTAGTGAAGGCTGAGATATGAATTAGAGATAAAGATTTATTGAGGTGGTGAAAGATAAGTGTAGAAACAAGAGAAGAGTCATATGAAGAGAAGACGCATTGACACTCCAAGAGTAGAGTGCGGTCTAGAAGAGAAAGCGTCTATAGATTTGTAAAAGATGAAGATACTGAAACAGAGAGAGGAGGAGGAAATTACAAGAGACTGCGAGTAGAAAGTAAGAGTCATTCCAACTCGGAGAACGGACATGCGCCCTCTGTGTATGGCATTTTGGTTGGACTGCTATGGAACACGAATTACGCAGATGCGGTCAGTGTGCACTGAGCAACTAAATCGGTTTCCTGTAATCAGCTCGTCGCTACTCGCTCCGCAGATTCGCGGAAACCTCCAAAATTTATTCCATATAGGTGCTAGGTAGCCACTCTATCATGCACCCTTGAAGACGGAGGAAACGTTAACACGACCTGTAGTTTGAGAATAAATGCCTTGAAACACGATCACCCACTTCCTGCTCACACTGTTCAGGTGCTCAGGCCGATATTTCGGCGGGACAGAAGTGCGGGGAGTCGTAACTATGTGCTATCTGCAGCTATGGCTATTGCGATACGCAGCTCGGGCTCTACGCATTCGCTGTTCGTATATCCACCTTAGCATCCTTGGCAGCAGACCGGTGAACATTTCGGGTCCAACACAGATGATACTGATTCCTGGATGATAGCTGCTTTTTTGTTTGGTTACTATTTTTAATGTACTGTTGCCGTCGATATGTATGACTCCCGTGGGCCAAATATCCATTTGAAGCGAATTTACTTCATGGATGCAGACTACAGATTGCGATGACGCGTCCATGCACTCAGAAGCACGGTAGATCACTAGGGCAAGATCTAACAGTGTTGACGGCCAGTTGGTCGGCTGTTCGAGACAAATAGTGCAAGGATCCGATAGACACTGAATCTGTGAATTGTGTCAACACTTGTTCGGCTTGGAACTCCTCATCTACTTATTTTTTGTCGCCAGCGGATTTTTTGGATTAGGATTTTCGGATTTTCAGAGGCGACTATTTGCTATTTCTTTGTGACATTATTTATTTATGGAAATTATCCTGCACGGAGAATCACACTCATTTTAAGATTGAATCAGTCCTTGGGCTTCAGAAAGCTAGGTAGCTTGTGCTGTCATGTAACGCTTGATAGCATTTGTAGTAATGCATCACGTCACTATAGCACATTTGTGCAACGCGTGCTCAGTATACCTCAATGATTACGAATCTTGACCTCAAAAGTTAGACTCTGATGTGACTTAACCTAGTTTTGCTACGGTTTCCAACAGAAGCAACTTTGTGCGCCATCTGCATTTCGGAGCGACTTGGTTGCCACCAGTGTGCGACCCGAATTAAGGTTGGTAGACCAAATAGATAACTAGTCCTGTATACAATTTCACCAACAATTTCTGATAACGACGTGTTTATTCTAATTCCCTGACCCGCTTCTCGATACCGATCGTCAGGTGTCACATTGGTGTCCGAATCACCGAGAGCTAGTACTCAAAAGGAATGAGCGGTGACTGACACGAATCAGATGTGGACGTTCGTCGATTGTCATGGCCACTTTGACAACCAAATTTGCGTTCACACAGTTCTAGTCCACCAACGTATGCGTTAAAGATCGACTGTCTTAAGCTCGTTGCAATCCTGCGTGCTCAAGTGTTGCAATACCATGGTATTCTCAGCGATTAGGTGCTCTGGGGCGTTCTGTGTGGCAACAATCGGACTAGTTCCTTAAATCCATAAATAAGGACGAATAAGTCCCACTGTTTCTGGTACACGCTAGATGTACTAGCTGCTGTCAATGCTACCTCGTCGATAATGCAATGGCCATCTGCGTGCTCCACAACACTGATTTACTCGGATCGGAACTGGCGTATTGCTGTGAGTTTTTCCCATTTACTCACGTGCTCTGTGCATGTCTGTTGTTCGTCACTTCAACACCGACTGTCACGTAGGCGTGTTGTGCTTCCTGTTCTACCCCGCCGTCACGCCTTTGTGCACAGTATTTTTATCGGTAGTGTTATGCTTCCATGAATGGTTCAGAGAACATGCACTCGTCTTCTGTCCAGGTTATAGTTCCTCGATTTATTTCCGTTTCAGGTCAGCGAGCACACACGTGCACCAACTGTGGCAAATCCTTTACACGAGCAGATCATCTCCGGACGCATTTACGTTCAGTCCATCTGAGTGAGTGTGCACTTGGATGCGCAGTCTGATTTTGTACATCCTTATTCCTGTCATTCCCAGATATACATCCGACTTCGCATTGGAAGGCACACCACATTTTACAGGTTACTCTAGTTAATTTACACTCCATTTGGAACACCCAGGTTAATTGAGATGTTTCTCGTCCAAAATCCGATAAAGCCTTCGTAAGTTGTCTACTCCAGGGATCGGACCAAATTAGTCAAGTTACAGAGTTTTCGATTCGCAAGGTTTGCATGATAAACGTATAAGCAATGAAAAAGAAACAGTCAACTTAGAGAGATGGTCAGGATGTTGAGATGGTTAAATTTGGTAGTTTTACTGTACATCTAATAGGGATTCATCACGACTATACTCGAATCTCAAAGCACAGCATTCGCCGGTGATCGAAGGGATTCATCGTCCGTCTGGTGGTTCAAAGATCATCTGTTCGATTCTGCGCAGGTGTATGTGTGTGTGTGTTGTTAGCTAACCAGCGAACGGCATTTACCCCAGACTGATCTGTTACTTGCTGGCGTCGATAGCCCCAAATGAATTCCACTTCCGCGCGTAGATGATGCCAGAAGCAAAAATGGTTTGGCATAACACCAACATCCCTCATGCGCATGCCTCGAGGGGAACAGCCGGAGGAAATGAGAGATATAGAGATCATTTTGTTTGAATGGTGTATTTTGATCGAGCCCCATTAATCGTTTATAAACCTCCGAGCGTTATCGTACTAGTGTGAGCGACTCGTAATATTCATAGGCCGCACGCGATTGGTGGTAGTCGCTAGGCTTCCAGGCGAACTGCTGGCGTTCTTCTGGGCACCACATTTCGGGGTGACCACTTGCTCGCCCCTTTCACATGAAACTCACTACTTACCTACACTTCATTCGGACCCTTCATCTTTCGAACTTATTATTTAGGTTCCTCGGTGCATCGTTTCTGTTCTCATGAATTTGGCTGAGCAAACACGCTGTTGTTTTACTGTGATGGCTGGGCATATTATGAGTTAGCTGGCCTTTGTGTGCTTTTGACGAAACGACCGCAATCGATTTGCTGATGAAATACTCTTTACTTCTTTGATTGATTGCTCTCACTTTGAGCACTAGCTTCCAACCGATTTACCGATAATTAAAAACAGGTACTAGAGAGTAACACGAGGTCAAAATTTCTCGATGTTTCTGTTCCCCGACTGTACGACTGGTTTGTTTGTCTCCGGAACCGTGAGTCCCCATGAGTTTCTGGTTGGTGTTCGTCACACTTCTTACTCCAGTCTTGGACTTGTGGACCGCTAACTGACGACCGTAGGCGTTCGCCAGTTCCATAAACTCTGTTTCAACATGGAGCTGCCGGTGTTATCCGCTTCCGGCATTGAACTCCACTACGGGTTTAGTCCTGCTTTGATGCCGTTTGAGTTGGATGCATAACACGGCGCGTATGGGTCCATGACTGTCTAATGCTCGTCCGGTCAAAGGGTACCGCTAGGACCGCTTGGCATATCTGATAAGAATGCATCTCTGAGTTTTGGAGTCCCCGCCTTGTACTTGAATTTCAGCACAATCTCATTTGCGTCTTTGCTTTACTTTTGAGCAGACGTCTGTAGTCAATCGTATTACTTCTTCAAATTTTTCATTCACTGCAAGGTACTTCCCTGATTGTTCTGAGTAGATCAGATCAGTCTGAATCAAAACACAAAGTTCGCACTCCTGGTTAACTGCTTACAGCTTATAGCCTACGTACTTTGTATACCGACTGGCTTGTCATTGTAGCGACTATACGAAATCTAGACGAAGTAATTGCATGCGACGGGATAAGGGAACTGTAGACTCGTGAACCTAAACCCTACGCACGGTCAAGGCGGAGAAAATAAAACGTGAATTCCTGTTACTGTGATCCTTTAATTCAAACTAAAAACAGTCATAGATAATGGGCAAGCGCAGCAACCGGAAGACATGCGGCGGTGTGGGGAAACGGCACAATGTAGCTATTCCCTAATCGGCTGTCTGTCAAGATCGAAGTGTCTGACCTTGGAAGATCAACGATTTGCCAGTAATGCCAAATGAAAACGTACAGTGTTTCATAAGTGTTTGAAACAAACTTATATGCATTTCTGTAAGGATATAAATAAAGAATTTGGGAATAGGGATACCATGTCCCCAAAAAAGTAATCCAGTATTACTGAATAATCACCTTGACTGTCTTCTATCCTCTTCAATGGCTTCTACAGTTTCGTCATTTTTTTCCTCTTATGCTTCCCAAAAGCAGAGTTGTCTGAGGCCCCTTTGCAGCATAACTTAGTTTTATCCTCACCAACGCTTGTCGAGCCAGTTGGTCTTTGACTTGCATGGTTTCTTTTACTACTGCATAAATCACAGACTGGAACTACATCACCCTGCTTAAGCTCTATAACTTTGGTTAACCACTTCTGCCTCTGCTGTACTTTCGCTGAGTATACTCTGACCCCATCTACGCCATAACATATTGGCAGATGTTTTCCCTGTCTCTTCTACTCACTAAGTCGATCGTTTGGTTTTCGCCAGTTCTCTCGGCGTTATGGTGTCTTGGGATCAGGTGCGTCAGGTACCCCTACTAGTGGTATGTCATTCACTGTCCTTTCCACTTCAGCGAGTGTCGTCATAAGCACTTGTTCTGTCACGATCTCGACCTTACGAATGCTACGCAACGATTCGCGTGTCGAGCGAATCATTTGTTCCCAAAGACCTCCGTCAGTCGCACCACCACGATGGCTATCACAAGGCGGGTTAAAGTTCCAATTAATCTCTCGTGACAGCACTGACTTTGTTATCCACTCCTGGTCCATTATCACTGTACCCGACAGTCGACCAGCCATATCTTACCAAAAGCTCGAAAACGCATGCAGTATGAGTCGTATCCATGGAATGAAAAACCTGTAGGTGCACCGCTCCTGTAGTCAAGCTGCTCATCCGTGTCTCTTCTCATGCCCACGGCCGCGTCGTACCATTAAAGGTCCAAAGTAATCAATCCCAACGATACTAAATCCTGGTCGGACGGTCAGACACTGATCTACTATAACCGAGGCTATCAGCTGACTCAATTGCTTTGCATCGTTTATACGGCATATGGCACAGTTGAAGAGCACATGTCGCACAGCGGGACCCATTATCTCCCATTATCCAATAACATCACCGAAGATGGCACAGTGTATGCTGAACCCCGGATTGTCCATTGGTTTAGTGATAATGAAGTATAAGAAGCCGAGTAACAAAGTATCGATCAGGAAATAAAATCGTGTGCCTCGCTTCGTACGGCATCGGGAGTTAATTTAGCCTTCCGCCCACTCAGATTCAACCTTTCCTCGTAAAAGTTATCAGTCGTCTCAGTTTGCCCGATTTCAGCTTCAACTTTCGTTCTACCATCTTGGGGCTGTCGTGTGAACGGAGACCCATCCCTTTTGCGAAGGCTTTCTTTCTTACCAGTCGCAAAACCCGAAGCTTAGCTTGGTGAATTTCAGCGCTCTCTGTCTCACCCAATTGGCATGGCGGAGCGCTCTTCAGAAACTTCGCTACGAAATAACACTTAGCAGACAGTTGGATAACGAGCCATTTACGCAGCGACGTCCAAGTAGGGCAACCTTTGCATTTACTCACTCGGTGTTCTTCCATTTCGGTAAAGGAGACATGGCTAGTATCAGACCGCAACCACTCTGACGCCAGTTTACGGAAGTTCTCCGGAGGCCTGAGGTACGGGTATTCAGACTGAACGAGAAATTGCAGACGATGCAACCAAGTGTTTACTTCTTTCTCTGTTGACATAACAACTCCACGTAAAGCTATATCAGTCGGCTTTTGCTTCGAGTTTAGATAACGCCACTGATTCGGATGAGAATACTGTTATATTATAGTAACTCGGTTAGGAACGTAAATCGGAAAGCACGCGTTAACACTACAAAGCAGCTTGAAACTTGTCACTGAATATATATATAATATATATATATATATATAATTTTGTGACCATTATCTTTCCTTCTCTAGCTTACCTCGAGACCGTGCGCTTTGTTGAACGTGTCGTCAATCTTTTTCCGACGATGATACGAGACACTTTTTGAAGGCTAACACTTACCTGACCACTGTCCGTTGGGTGTTGCTACGGCCAATCCTCATCCGTCGCTACCGACCCCCAAATCTTCCTAAGCTAACCAACCTCATTGGTTGCTGATTTAAGACTATAGACAATCACTGGGCTACACGACGGCTCAACCATTTTAAATGATAATTACGACAGAGAGCCTTGTTCTGACAATTCGGTTGGCTCCCGTCACCGAATGCCCCTGGGGTATGGTTAGTTAAGGACTATTTTATAGGTTGAACTGATCAGTGGATCACCAGTCCCAATCACCCAAATGAATCTGGTTTTCATTTGTTATGCTTAACTGATTTGTCTCCATTGATTCACTACACTTGTCGGCGATCTCTGGCCGACGTCTACTCTCTGGAACTCTCATGTTTCTGAGTACTTCGTAATAAAAACAACTAGAGTTTGAGAGACATTCACGTGCTACTGAAGAAAACGTTTTGCATTAGTCCGTTAATTTTCACGGCCTTAACATATCCATGAGGCATACTCCCGTATACTGAGACGATTGTAACAGTTCAATCATGCGCACAATGTAATTGAGGATGATTTGGCTACCATATGGCAATTGAACTTTTCCATCGTTAATGGATGCTCCATCACGACCCATACTGTCACTATCTTGGTACTGGAAATCCTGAGCAGTGCTCGCAATAACCTCCACGCGTTGTTTCTTTCCAAGGAACTCATCAAGATAATTTAACAGGGTATGGATACTTTGGATAGCTGTTGAAATCAGCGCATCCACTGCTATGGTCTCTGGACGTCGCAACTTCTCCCAAGCGTTCCTTCCGGATTACATCCATAGGGTGCAGTGTGCGAAATTCAGCTGTTCTTCTGTCACACTGCTGATACCCCTGATCGAACTTCGACTAGACTACGCATTTACCTCGTCAAACCATATTACCGTCACTGATACTTGTAGTGTTCAGCGATCCTCGACGCAGAAGTGACGATTGAGAACTCGTTACTCATCAACAGTTACTCTTTGTAGAAGCGCGTTGATGCAAGGGTATTTATTACAGCAGCACTTCAACGAGTGATATTTCTTGGATGTGAGTCAACTAACTAGCTTTTTAGTTTTGTGTCTGAAACCATAAGGGTCATCTGTTCAAATCTGCGTTGCTACAGGCAACCTCAAAGTGTCCCATAGTTTATATAATGTTATTCATAACATCATTTTGTTTTCCGTTCCAGAGCTAAGAGATCACATATGCAAATACTGTGGCAAAGCTTTTTCCTCAAGAAGCAACCTTTGTATCCACACAAAAGCCATTCACCTGAGTGAGTGCGACATTGAGTATTCTGTTAGATTTTACTCTTTTTTGGTAACCCTTGGATCCTTTGCATATATGAATCGAATGTTGTTTTTTAATAAAAGCTTTATTCTTGCTCGGTGTTGATTCCATTAGTTGCGATAAGGAGTACTGGGGTTCAGTCGCACACGTCAGTAGTGGATGGTCAGCCTAAACTCGCCACCACAAACCAGTGAGGGCGGAAGGTCAGTTGATTGGACGATGGCCGTGATGAGCTTTAGCTTTCTGCCATACAGTTGGCCATATCGCTGTTCAAGATGGGATTGCGAATCGTATCGCAATAACAAGGGACCGGTTATTAAACGGCCTTTAGCGATACCGAGCTTCTCATGGTTGCGCTTTCCTTACTGGCATCAGTCGTCTAGCTGTCGAAGCAGTCAGCTGTTGGTTACGTAATGTGCATAGCTTTGGACCACCAGCCCGGCGACGTAACCCAATCTTTGTATCCTGTTTTGAGTATGTTTATTCTTCATTAACGCAGTAAGAAGACATAAGTTGCGATATGTTAACATTTCGATTGCTGTCGTCAGTCGCTACGCAATACAGGCAGAAAAACACGCAATAAATGGTGTTCTGAATACTGTATTATAGAGCAAGTAGAAATGCATTCTGTACAACTCTTTCGAAATATGGTGAAAAACGTTATAAAAGTTGTCAACCGTGAATAGCATTGTCGTTCTCTTGTTATATTTAAAATATTCGGCTTACGATATTTCAGGATTCACAAATGTGATCTGTCATCGTAAGTGTGCAGTCGTTCTCTGAATCGAATAGTGACAAAATACAAATCTAACAACGTTTTGAACTGTTGCACAGATGTTGCCTCAATCACATGTTCAGGCAAACTGTTCCAAATGTTTACCACTCTCCGTTCGAAGCACAGTGAGTGGGGAACACATTTCACATCCGGCACGACAAGTTTGTATCTGTGTCCGCGTGTGCTGCATGGCCCTCGTAAGTGCAGCATTGGCCTTAGCATTGGGAAGTCACCGAGATGTCGAATACGGTAGGTCATAATGAGGTCGACTCGCATCCGATGGTACGACAAGGTGTAGAGTCCTAGTTTCTCGCACCGGTCTTCATACCCAAAGCCACGTAAACTCGGGATCAGCCTGGTAGCAACGTGTTGGACCCGTTCGATCTTTTGTGCCTCGCCTCGGGTAATCGGAAAGTAGGCGGGCGAACCGTACTCTAGCATTGGTCTAATGACAGAAGAGAACAGGCGAGTGGCAACCTCTTCAGACCATGTGCCGAAGCTACGTTTGAGCGCCCAAAGCATGTGCAGTCCTTTACGATATAGCCTGTTCGTGTTGTCCACGGACTTCAAATCGTAGCGTGAGAGTACACCTAGGTCCTTCACGGTGGGTGTGGCATGTAGCGTTTGGCCGTCAAGGGTGTAGGTTCGGCCGCCAGAATGCTTCCCCAGGCTCATAAATACAGACTTGGCTGGGTTGACCGGGAGAAGAACTTCTGCAGACCATGTGGATAGGCGGTTGAGGTCTTGCTGAAGTAGGCCACAGTCATCGGGAGTGTCGATTTCTCTCCAAATCTTCATGTCGTCCGCAAACAAGGCACACGGCGACCGGAGAAGCTGCGGTAGATCGTTGATGTGGATCAGGAACAGAGTGGGCCCCAGCACAGTGCCTTGAGGCACGCCACTTGTAGAGGGGTACCAGTCAGTTAGATGGTTGTCGACCTGTACCCTCCACTTTCGTCCAACAAGAAAGTCGCTGATCCACCGGTGCAGTGAGCCACCGACACCACACATTCTGAGTTTGTGAAGGAGAACCTCATGACTGACCTTGTCGAACGCTTTACTGAAATCGATGAATATCACGTCGACGGACTTCCCCTTGTTTATTGCCTTCAACCACTCATGCCTCGTCACAAGCAGGTTCGTAATGCATGAGCGACCTTGCATAAAACCGTGCTGTGCGGGCGTCAGGACCTCGTTTGACTGTAGCAACTGCAGCAATCTCTTCTTCAGGATTTTCTCAGCAACCTTTGTCAAAATAGGTGTCAGACAAATTGGCCTGTAATTGTCTACTTTGCTAGGGTCGCCGCCTTTCGGAATAGGCTTCACCACCGAACATTTCCAGTCAACCGGCAACGAACCTTCGGACAGCGACCTGTTGAAAAGGTCAGTCACGACAGGAGTGAGGATGGTTGAAAGTGACTTGAGAACCAGTGGGTGAAGCCCATCAGGTCCGGCAGGTTTGGTGCCGTCAAGGTTGGCGAGTAGTTGAGCTACCTCTTCAACGCCGCATTGCAGACTATGGAGTTCGGTAAAAGCGGTACACGTCGAACTCGGAACAGACACCTGGTTATTCGTAAATACAGAAGCGAAGTGCGCCGCCAACGTGGACGCACGCTCAGTGCTGGAGGTTAGGGGCTGTCCATCCGTGCCATCCAGCACTGGCACATCACCTGCCGGTTTCAGGCGTCGCTTCACGTATGCAAAGATTCTCTTTGTGGCGGTCTTCGTGGCTAATGCGAGCTGCACTTCAAAGTGTCAGCGTTTATTCTTTTTCGCACTGTTGCAGAGGTTCCGCTGACGTTTATACCCTTCGTAATCATTGGCAGAGCCAGAGAGAAGGAATTTGTCCCACAGTCTGCGCCGCCTCCGAGCCAGGTTTCCATACTCCTTGTCAAACCAATGAGGCTTAATAGGTCCAACCTTTCGACATTTCAATGGCACAAATTGGGAACACAATGATGTAATCTCTCATTTATAAATATCCAACAGTCTTCCACAGATACAGCTTGTGACAGAGACCAATCCAGTTGGCTCGCGGCTCGAGCTAGACCATCGAAGTCCGTTTTCCAGTAGTTGGGAGCTGGTTGCAGCGGATGTGAATACGGCAAAGATAATTCCATATCAGCTATCAGTACTGAGTGGTCGCTTCTAGCGAGGGGCTCCAGGATCCTAACGTCACGCACTCGTTGTTCGTAGCTCGTTAACATCAGGTCGAGACAGGACGAGGTTGAACGTGTTGATATGCGTGTTGTCTGGCATATGTGTTGCGATGCACCAGTTTCAAGTACCAAATCCACGAACTTTGCTTCAACCTCACTATGTCCAGGCATCAAATGCACATCAGGCCATCGTATTCGAGGACAGTTAAAATCGCCCATAAGTAGAAAGTGTGGACGACTCATGTGGGTCCCAAGAATGGGCAGCCAATCCAAACAACGACTCAGGGGACTGCGATAAACTGCGCCCACAAGCAGTTCTCCGCGCCTGAGGCGGATGGAGCACCACAGTAGCTCACACAGACCATCGTCACTTCGGTAGGTGCTCACAAGTCTCCCACGCAGGGAAGATTGGATGTAAAGTAAGACACCACCGTGGGTATTCTTTAGTCTATCGCATCGGAAACACGAGTAACCGTTGAGTTCAAGTTCTTGGGTGTATAACTCTACATGCAGCCATGTCTCTGCGAGTCCCACTAGGTCTGGCCGCTCAGACGCAACGAAATAACAAAGTTCATCGCGCTTATTCATAATACTGCAAACGTTTGTGAAGGCTACTAGCAGGCCGCAGCAGGAGCCACCGGGCGTGCTTGAAGTGTGAGCAGCCTGTTTATCCTGATTCGCGGATGGTTGGAAACCACCTGAAAATTTACGATACGAAGATTTGTTGTGCGTCTTTTCAGCTCAGTAATGGCAAACTTGAGCAGCTCCCTGTCTACTGGGTCCAGGTCGGGACGAACATGGATCTTCAAACCTTTCAGCCTACTTAGGCGAGACATGATCAGTCTTGGACTGGCTTCGTCCACAAAAGTGATTCTCATAGGCTGATTTTGTTGATCACCTTGCTTTCCAAGACGGATAATTTGCCTCACTTTTACAGAGTCCTCACCAGCGTCGAGGAGTCTATCAATTAGACCCTGTAAAATCTCGACATCGTGTTCGTAGCGCACTTGGGGTGATGGATCACTGGACTCCGGTGCGTGAAAGATCACGAGATTATAACGCCTCTGGTCGGACGAGGTTGGCCTTGCAGGGCGGAGTATACTACCAGCCTCAAGTGGTTTGGCTAACTGTTGACTTACAGAACGTAAAAGCCCAACTTTCCTTCGTAATTTCGTCCTCTGTTCTTTCCACTGGTCTTCAACATTCAGACTTGCACCTGCTGGGACATCAGTGTCCGTTGGACACAACAAAGGTAAACAGTTTAGATCAGGTGCAGCTGGGCTTCTCACAACGGTTGGACTTCGTGTCGGTGAGTTTGCACTGGTAGAGGAGGACGACTGAGCCCACGAGATTATAACACACTTAGTAACATAGATAACCAGATAAAATTGATGGGAATGACGTAATCAGGTCCAAGACAATCTAATGGATTGCCTCAGTTGTTTCTGAGCACAGAGCACGGGACACTTCAACCTTATCAGTAGTGCCTCGCCAATTGCCAACAACGTCGGGTTCCTGTTGCGCAATAGCACCTTGAATGAATCAATTGTTTATGTTTATTCTACCCTTAGTTATAAGCTTTTTCACACCTTTACGATTTTATGTACTTTGTATAGCAAATGAAATGGACGCGATCTTTTTTGTGGCTGGATGTCCTGTTTTCCCGTTTTTCCCATATATATATATATATATATATATATATATATATATATATATATATATATATATATATATATATATATATATAGACTGTAGAGGTCCGCCTCTCAATTTAGTCTGACCTTTACCCCTTCCAAATGTAAGGTCTTATTACAAGACTGGCCAAGTGCATGTCCTCTCACTCTTTCGCGGCATCCGCTGGAAGTGGTCGACAATTTCATTTTTCTTGGGAGTTTTCTTAGTATTGGCGGTTTGACAGATGAGATGTCTTTTTGTGTCTCCAAGGCTAGAGTCCCTTTCGCTAACTTTCATCCCCCGTGGTTTAGTCGTGAACTCAGCTCCGCTCTCAAGACACGAGTCTGCAATGCTAAGGTACAAGCGATTCTGCTGAACGGCTGTGAGATTTGGCCCTTTCGCAAAAGCGATGTTTAACGGCTATCTGTCTTC